AGCTGAGAGAAGACCAAGGACAGAGAGTTACACTGTGTTATGGAGGTTTACAAAGCTCCAATGTCCAGATAAGAGCAGACATATCTACTATATAGAATAAATAGGCCATGGGGAATTAGCTGTATCCCAATAGAAAATGTTTAGCCTTTCTGAAGGCCACCTTAGCCACAAGGTACAACAGAAGGAGAGCTCTCAGCATGAGTCAGTGTATGATTTTTATACGAAACTGGAGAGTTGGAAGTTTGCATCAAAGAAAGTTCCCAATTTCAAAGCAAAAGAATTTTTAGCACCCCGTGAGCCTACCAGACATAGCTTCAATGTCAGATTCAGCCTGTGAGAATACACTTGCAGTTCGTCCTCAAAAGTAAAATAGAAAAGTTAAAAAGCTGTTGGGGAGGAGAGGGTGAGGTGATCTCAGAAATCCACCCCTGTGCTTCTCTCTGCCTCTATCTTCCTGAGCACATGGCATTGTCCCCAGTCTACTCGAAACAATGAATCAAGCGTTGACTTGTGGCAAAGATTATTAATTTTTTCACTAAAAACTAAAGAGAAAGACCAAGATAGTATTTCCTTTCTCATATTCAAAAATGGTTTTCTTCTGTGTCCTCTGGCAGCAAGAAGTAAATAGCCAGGAGTAGATGTCATAACTAGACAAGTCTTTCATTTCGAACAGCTGGTTTCCACATGTAGCTTTAAATGTGCTGTGGAGAATTCAGGATCTTCTTCCGTTCTTTCCTAGAAAATGGAATTCACTTCTAATGCCGAGAAGTCTAAATAATCACTAAATCACTGAGTGCCCCACCAAATATGTGACATCAGGATGGTGTTAGACAGAAAACAGGGTTGAGAGAGGAGGGGGAAGTATCCCTTTCTGGAATCAGCAGTTCAGGAGTTACAGGTTTGAAAATGTCAAGAATCAGGACGTCTTAGCAGAGCCAGGACAAGGTACTAACATAGTACTTCTGCTCAACAGAGCAAAAGCAGGTTGAATCTCTTGCTCTCAAAAGTCAACAGAAATAATATCTGGAACTACATGGCTGTCTCTGCCCACTTGTGTTTAGTCTGAGTGAGGCAGGTTTGTAAATATAAAACAAACATTAGAATTTGAAGACATTATAGAATAGTGCAAAAACCTCATCCAAGTTTTTTAATCATACGTTGAGATAACATTTTAGATATTAGTTTTCTGGTTAGCTTTTGTCATCTTGGCACAAACTGGGGTCGCCAGGGCAGAGGGAACCTCCATTGAGGAAATACCTCCATCAGACTGGTCTGTGAGCACAGTCATGTGTGCATTGTCTTGGTTAATGATTGGTGTGAAAGGGTTCAGCCAGACATGGGTGATGCCACTCCCAGGCAGGCGGTCCTGGGCTGTGCAAGCAAGCAAGCTAAGCCAGCCATGGGGAGCAAGCCACTAAACAGTGTTCCCAAACAGAAGCTTCCCAACACTCATCTTTGATGTCTTTTCGTGATTGGTACTTTCTTTTTTGTTGTTGTTGTTAATTAATTAATTTATTTATTATGTGTACAACATTCTGCTTCCCACACACCAGAAGAGGGCGCCAGATCTCATAGATGGTTGTGAGCCATCATGTGGTTGCTGGGAACTGAACTCAGGACCTCTGGAAGAGCAGTCAGTGCTCTTAACCTCTGAGCCATCTCTCTAGCCCCCCGTGATTGGTACTTTCTTTAGAGAGACTTTCTCCAATCATTCTTTGTGATACTGCGCCCATCCTCCACCCCACATCAATTTCTTGTTGCTTTACTTTATTGCCTTCCTAACCATTATCACTGTAAAAGTCCCTAATTCTTTCCTTGCCTATTGGTATTCTCGTGTTCTTTTTCTAGTACAAACCACATGAGTAGGAACCTATTTACTATCATATCTTTATTGCAGGATCATCAGAGACAGTAGTATACTATGTACTGCACCATTTCATTATAGTCTACATGCAAACATATATGGTGCTTTGCTCTCTGGGTACCTGCAATATATGGTGCTCAATAAACATCTAACAAATAAATACATGTGTCTTGTTATGTCATGAGAAACATCATCTCTTCATATAGTGTCCTTCCCCATAGATCCATATACTCATTATTATCAAATTAACTTGTATACTTATTACTGTTATCATTTACTTGGGAATGCCTTAATGAGCTGCCAAATGACATTTCTCCCACTTTTATAGTTATCACTAGCTACTACTTAAATTTACATTAATTTTCACTATATATCAATATTCTTCCTTATATCACAGAGGCAGACTGTCTTATAATTCTGTAAGCAACTAGTAAACTGTCCTTATATCTTCAGTCCTCAATATAAAGATGCTCAGTTGAGATGATCAGTTTTATTAAAAAGATGAGGTTCCAATTTAAAAAAAAAATCCTTAGAAAGGACCAGACTCCCTTTCTCAATTTATGTCTATATGTATACACCCTCCTGCTAACATTACTTTTATTTAGAGGTTATTGTATTGAGGAGGGATTATTTTTTTTATTACTACTCTTTTTGGAAAATTACTAATTTTCCTTATTGAAATTTTATTAGAATTTTCCCCAAATAATGGAAGTCCCCCTGTGCTTCTGTCAAAAAACAGCAAATCAATATTTAAATTTGCTATAGCTAGATTTTGAAAACAAGTCCTGTTGAGAACTCAGAAGGCTCTATGCTCAAGGTCCGGGTTTCTCCTATCTTGCCCCCAAGGAAGTGCTTGAGCTTGCCAGAGAGAAAAGAAATTGTTAGAGATTTCCTCAAGTCCAGAGCCATGAGCTACATTCTGGATCCAAGTACAAGCAGAGAAAAATAGGGAAATCTGAAGTTGTCCATGAGGAATCAATGTTATACCATCTACTTTGTTTTCTCTCATTTGACTTATGTTCCTGAGCATTTCCTACAGGTCTGGCACTTTGAGACTGTTGATCTCATTTTTCATACCAATGATTGTTTTTCATAATTCCACCCATTAGCGCTGTATTTACATCCCTTCCATTCTTCCCGTTTCCCCTTTTCTTCTTCCTGTGCAGCCCACCCACGTTCTCACTTTAGTCCAGGCATTTATGGCCCAAGGTGGTAGGACTCTAACTGGTATTCAGAAGGGCAAATAATTTTCTCAGAAATGCAAACCATCCTCCTTGGAAAAGATGCTGGAAACTTACCTGTGTCTAGTTGGGTTCAAATTTGTTTTTGTTTTGTTTTGTGTTTTAAATTTAAGATTTATGTAAGTGAATGTCTTGTGTGCATGTAGGTATGTGTGCCACGTGTACAACTGGTACCCAAAGAGGCCAGGAGAAGGCAGGCATCAGAATCCCTGGAGCTGGAGTTACAGAAGGCTGTGAGCGACTATGGTATTGCTAGGAACCAAATCGAGGTCTTCTGCAGAGGACTACTGAACCACCTCAGCAGCCTCACGTATGAAACCAGATGTCTAGTTACTGTTCTGCTTCCATGAGAAGGCAATGTGACCAGGCTACTTACAGAAGGAAGCATTTAATTGGGGCTTTCATACTGTTTCAGAGGGTTTGGTTTTTGGTTTTTTGTTTTGGTTTTTTTTTTGTTTTGTTTTGTTTTGTTTTTTCGAGACAGGGTTTCTCTGTAGCTTTGGTGCCTGTCCCGGAACTAGCTCTTGTAGACCAGGCTGGCCTCAAACTCTCAGAGATCTACCTGCCTCTGCCTCCTGAGTGCTGGGATTAAAGGCGTGCGCAACTACCGCCCGGCCAGAGGGTTAGTTGTGACCATCATGGGGAGAAGCTTGGTAGCGGGCAAGCAGACATGGTGTTGGAGCAGTAGTTAAGAGCTTACATCTGATCTACAGGCATGAGAAAAAGAACTGGGAACTAGGTGGGATTTACATGGGCTTTTAAATTCTCAAAACCCACTCCCAGTGCACACATCCTCCAACAAGGCCTCACCTCATCTTTCTCAGTTATACCAAGAATTCAAATATGTGAGCTTCAGGGGGGCTGTTTTCATTCAAATCACACCACTCATTACATTGTTTCCTACAAATCTCTTCATATATGAGCAAGCAAGGAGATATATTTTAGGGTTTATGATCTCCTGGCCTTGCTCAATGATCATATTTCTGATACTTGTCCCAACCTGTGGTGTGGATGGGATAATGAGAAACACACCAATTTGGAAACTTTTGTCTCTCCGGGGATAACACAGTGATACAAACTGACCAAGAGACCAATGAGCATAGTAAGGTATTGCAAGTAAATTTTCAGTTCTATTTCTTTCTAGTTTGATGATTCTTCAACCTGATATTTAATGTTTCTGAGGCTTAATTTTGTTTTCTTCATAGTAAAGAAAACAATAGCAATTGTAGGTTTTTAAAATTTTTTTCTGTTGGTTTTGTTCTGTTTAGGTTTTTGGTTTGGTTTGGTTTTTCGAGACAGGGTCCTGGCTGTCCTGGAACTCACTTTGTAGACCAGGCTGGCCTTGAACTCACTGAGATCCGCCTGCCTCTGCACCCCATGTGCTGGGATTAGAGGCGTGCACCACCACTGCCAGGTTATATTTTATAGTTTTAACGATTGAGTGAGCCAGTGTATATAAAGCATTTAGTTCAGAATATGACATCTTAAATATTAAAGTTATAGTTGCTGTTATCACATAGATTTCAAATTATGTTCAGTCCCTCGCTGTTTTTTCTTTCTGGTGAGGTGCAGTCTGTTCAATTGCTGTGCTATTGGCTGAGATTGGCTAAGGCTGAATGTCACTGCCTCTCCAGCCCTGGTTCCAGCTTAGATATGTGAGGGGAAGAGCATGTTACCCTGTTGGCCTCTATGTGTGTGTGTTTGTGTGCGTGTTTGCACACACACGTGCATACACATGTTTATGTGTGTTTTCACTGCACATAGTTATGGATTTCATAAAGATATCTTCACACTCACACAAGCATATCATATACTTTAATCATAAGCACCCTTTGCCTTTGTTCGGATATTTACTGCTGTGATAAACATGACAAAAAGCAACCTGGTGAGGAAAGGATTTATTTCAGTTTACAGTTCCCCATCTCAGTCCATCGCTGAAGGGAGCAGGACAGGGACTCAAGCCGGGTAGAAACCTGGAGGCGGGAACTGAAGTAGAGGTGACATTGTGTGCCATCATCCTCATCGGTCAGTAGTCTCTCTGCAAGCAGCCACAGTTTCCAGAGCTCCAGAGCACGTGAGCTATGGAACTAGTTTCTGGTCACTCTTAAAGGGGTCTCTTCTGTCACTCACGCCCACAGCTTTCATCATTTCTGCCGGCTCTAGCTCCTGTGTCTCTGCAATTATACCGTTTCCTTTTCCCCTTCAATCTTCTTTTCTTCTGTTTTCTGGGCTGTTTCACGTCTTGCCTTGCTGTGGATTTAGGAAACAAAAGCTATCAAAATGGCTTTTATGGATTATATTATGTAATCAAGCTTCTTCCACCCAAGATGTTCAAGCTTGGGTTTGTCATGGTTCTCCACAATGTTTGTTTTAACTATGAGTTCAGAGTTGTTCTTGAACTAATTTAGAAATCCAGATATAAAGATGTATGCTGGATAGGCAAAACTGCTCACCAGCACCCCATCTCACTGAGGATAAATCCAAACACACGAAAGCCTCCTGGCTAACTGTCCCCGGCGAGGCATTGAACTTAATCTGCCGCCAGCATCCCCCATGCTCGCTACTCTGCTTGTCTCTCAGCTTCTCTAGGCCTTTGCACTCCCTGTCTGGCTATGACACTGAATTAGCACACATTCTCTCTCCTCCAGACCCACCCCTTCCACAGCCTCTCTTGCCACCAGGCGCATCTCTAAGTGATGGCTTATCCTTTTGTGGGTCTGTGTCCACGTAACACAATGAAAGCTCCAGGAGAACAGGAGTTGGTTCTTCATTCTTCTGGAAGCAAACTGCCTTCTTGCTGATTCCTGCAGCATGTAAAGCTCCTCCTTAACCTAAGAGTTTATCCCGTTTTCTTTCTGCGTAGAAAGCCACTCCCTGGATGTCACATGACTCAGCCCTTATACACTAGCACCCCTCCTCTAGTGCCCCCCCCCCCCCAGGCAGGACTTGCCCTGACGCTCTGCTGTCGTTCTCCACCTCCCAGGCTTTTACTGCACTTACCACACTGGGATACTAAGCCCTTATGTTCTTATTTATTTATTCATTCCCTCACTAGGCTATAAACTCCCCAGCGGCGATCACTGCATCCTAAGCCTTTCAAGTGGTTCATCAACAAATATTAGTTAGGTGTTTCATACATTTTTTTTGTCAAATAAATAAATTTATCAACATAAGAAATAGTTTAAAATTTTTGTTAGTTTCAAAGATTCTCGAGATGAAAGCTTTACTTTACTTTGATCTGCTAAACAGAATCGACATCTACTTGCTTACAAAGTAACTCAAATGTAAAATAATAGAAGTATCTCATAATTATACAGAAAAATAACGCTGATCCTATCATCTTGCTCGCAGGCTAATCCAAGGAACTAACAAGTGGGAGGAGTTTGTCTTCTGTCTCCTCTCTAAGAATCTGTCCTGCCTTCTGCTCTCTCTTCTCGCAGGTCTCTGCTAAAGTGCTAACATGGGTAAGCTTGTGACAAGTTTTGTTACTACTTTGTGGCGACTTCGGATGGCTGAGTAGAAAACTTGGTTTTGCTGCTCCTTCTCCTCACATAAGATCATTGAATTACTTTTACTGGAAATGCCTGGGCTCGTTAAAAGTTGCATTTTTAAATGTAATTCCTAAGGAAAAATGTATAGCTGCAGCCTACTAGAGCACAGTACTGGTAAACCAACACCACCAAAATAAAGGAGAAGGCAGGCAGCTTTTCACACTAGAAGTGTTTTACCGTGAAACCAAGTTTTAGGACCCCTCATTTATAGGAGACGTTAGCCATGTTTGCCCATCGTTTTTCTTAAAGTGTTACCTGGATTGTTGATTAGCCATGTTTGCCCATCATTTTTCTTAAAGTGTTATCTGGATTGTTGCTACTTTGTACTAACACGTGTTGATTTTACATCTTAATAGTACACAGTGTATTTTAACCCATGCAAACACAAACTGACCCACTCAGGACAGTTAACATTTCCTTCTCTTATCTTTTTTGTTGGTTTATTTAGATAGAGCACTGCTTTTACTATTTTATTTTATTTAGATAGGGCACTGCTTTTCTAACTTTTCATTACACGGAACAGTTTACTACAAACTGTGGACATCTGTCTCCCCTGCAGAACCCCAGAGCTGATTCCGTCTACCTGAGTCTTGGTATCTGTTAGCCAACTTACTTTAAAGCCTTTCTCTGCCCACCTACATCAAAATACAAAATATTTAAAGATATGCCTAAAGGATGATGATCTATTGGGGTCAAATTTGTGCAAAAAAACTTTTTAGGCAAGAGAAATATAGTACTAAGTGACTAGAGATAACAGATTTACCCAACTAAGAGAATGCTAGCACCGAGAGCAGTGCCCTCACAGGAATACTGAGGAAATGTCAGATTGTTAAAGCTCTAAAAAGCAGCGTTAAAGATTGAAGACTTAACTAAGTGGTTTTACGCTTGTATTCTTTAAAGATCATTCTAGCAGAAGCGTGAAAACTAATATAATACAGGCCCAGTTCTAAATTTGATCATATAAGTGAAAGTCACTGTCAAGATGAAAGGGGTGTGAATCTGAGAATTATGACATAAAGTTATGCTTGGGATTTTTATTTTTCTGCTCAAAATGGACATTTCCTTCATCTTACAAGAATGAGATTATTCTAGTTCTCCAAATTTAAAAACACATCTCTAAAATAGGAAGAAACTTTTATCATCATTAATTTTCTTTCTTGTAACCTCTCTAGAAACCAAATCTTATAATTTTTTATAATTCAAAATACACAGAAAACTGCAACTTGAGATGAAACAAATTCAAACAAATATATCTTTATACGTTTTAAGGTAACAAAATACAGCCTTAGTTACTTTTCCTAGTGCTGTGACAAAATGCCCTGAGGCAAGCAACTTCCGGGAGAGAAAGGACTTACTCTGACTCTGATCGGAACATAGGGCAGCCTGGCAGGGCAGCCCTGGCGGCAAGAGCTTGAAGTGGCTGTCCCAAGTCACATCGCATCTGCCATCGGTAAGCAGGAAGTGACGAATGCTGGCACTAGGTTCACTTCCAGGACCCAAGTCTGGAGAATAGTGCGGTGCACTTAGGTGGCTCCACCCACCTCTGCTGATCTAATCTAGATAATTCCTCACAAGCACGTACAGAGGCTTGTCTGTGGTCATGAATCCTGTCAAGCCGATAACCACTTACAACAATTACAAAGTCCAAAGTGATAAAACTGAAACAGGTTAGAGGCACAGTATTACTGGCATTCGCCATTTGGAGAACAACACGGTACGAAGCCACAGAAGTTACATAACTATTCTTCACTCCAATAATACCGCTTGTGAAAAATCTTCAAAATCAACTCTAGACTGGGATTAAAGTGCAGTTGTTTTCTAGTTAGAATACTGTTAGATTGTAACTTGAAGGAAGTTTAGTAGGTAGACTTTTATCAACTATGTTTCAGGAGGGCAGATGATGAGAAGATCAAATTACCTACCAAGGATGTACCTCTGACGCTGACAGAGCTGACAGTTTGGGAAAGAGCACTGTCTCAGGCAGCATCTCTACAGCTATGAAGACACCACTGCCACAGCAACTCTTAGAAAGGAAAACATTTCACGGGGGTGGCAGCTCACAGTTTCAGAGGTGTCTTCCATTATCATCATGGCAGGGAGTGCGGCAGTGTGCAGGCAGACATGGTGTTGGAGAAGGAGCTGCCACATGTTGCTATTCAGGCAAAAGGAAGTAGACTAAACTGAGTGTCACACTGAAAGAAGCTTAAGCAAAGGAGACTTCATAGCCTGTCCCACAGTGGCACACTTCCTCCAACAAGGCTACACCTACTTCAACAAAACACTTAACAAAACCCTGCCTCCGAATAGTGCTAGTCCCTTTAGAGGCCATTTTCTTTCAAACCACAGGCATCTATTTTTATCATTCACTGTATTCATTTTTGAGGCAATGGTTGTTTGTGTCTTTGAGACAAGGTCTCACCATGTAGCCCTAATGGCTTGGAACTTGCTATGTAGACCAGATTGGTCTCAGACTCATAGAGATCTGCCTGCCTCTGCCCTCTAAATTCTGAGACAAAAAGTGTGCACCACTGTGCCTGGCTATTCACTATATTCCTACATTAAAAAAATATAATTCTTGGGCTGGCAAGATGGTTTAGTGGATAAAGGCACTTACTACCAAGCTTGGTGATCTGAGTTCAATCCTTGGGATCCATGTGGTGGAAGGAGAGAACAGATTCCTGAAAGCTATCTTCTCACCGCCACTCACATGACATGGAACTCAGGCCTTTGCATGCTCCTCAATCCATAAATAAACATAATGAAACATTTAAAAACATAAGTCTACAATTAAATAGTAAGGCCTATAAAAATAAAAACATTTCATGATTTTAAATAGGTAACTAAAATAGTCAATAAAAGATGAAGTAGAAATAAATTGAAAGAGATACTTATATTTACAACTATAAATAAAAAGGCAATATAACCCAAAATGTAATATTCACAATATAGAGTTCTCAAAATTTTAAGGCAGTGGTCTGACACAATAAAAATATGTTAGTGACATAAACAATGTCAGAAGATGAACTGGAAATGGACAAAAAAAATGGACAAAAAAGATTTTTAACTTAATAGTAAAGGAAAAGAAAGAAAAGGAGGGAAGTAGGGAGGAAAAGAAGGAATGGAGGAAGGGAAGAAGGGAGAGAAGAAGGGAGGGAAAAAAGGAAGGGAGGGAGGGAAGAAAAGGAGGGAAAGTAAGGAGGAAATCCATTTGACTTATCAAAAATGAAAAGGACTTGCTGTAGTGGTGTGTGTTAAGAATGGACCTTCAGGGAGAACCAGCTGAGAGTTTAAGGGAACTGGCTGCTCTTCCAGAGGACCCTGGTTTAGTGCCCAGCATCCACATGGAGGCTTACAGCCATGTGTAAGTCCAGTCCCCGGTATCCAACACTTTCTTCTTGCCTCTGCTGGCACCACACACATAAGTTACAGACTTACATTCAGGCTTTGTGGAACTGTAAATTTCTGAAGGGAAAAGTTTAAAAATAGGAACCGATTTAAAAGTAGATACATACTTTTGATCTAGCAATTTCTCTTCTAGGGTAGTAGTTTTAGTCCGTAACTACAAAAAGCTCTGAAAGATGGATACATGGGCTATGCTCTATGGTATTACTTTCTGCTGGTGAGAGCTTTGGAAACCATCTGTCCCTTAACAATAACTGATTTAATAATTTATTGCTCATTTAGAGTGCACATCACATAAAAAGAACAGACCTCTCTTTAAAGACATTAGAGGTTTACAATATGTTGTTTCTCTAAAACTTGCTGTATAAAACAGTGTGCATCTGACTTGATACAGTCATCCAAACCGTGTGTGTGTGTGTGTGTGTGTGTGTGTGTGATAAGATAGCTAGAACAAATTTTTGTGTGGTTTTACTTTCTCTTTCATAACTTTGTGAATTGTTTTTTATTTTAAAAGCAATGACTATGTGCTATAAATTAAAATTGGGGAAAAAGTGAAAAATGTACTTCCCATATTATTTGTTGTTTTGAGATATTTTATGTAAAATATATGGCAGCATGTTGTACTGGCTGGTTCTGTATATCAACTTGATACAAACTAGAGTCATCAGAGAGGAAAGAGCCTCAGTTGAGGCAATTCCTCCATGAGATCCAGCGGTAAGGCATTTTCTCAATTAGTAATCAATGAGGGAGGACGCAGACCATTGTTGGGGGTGCCATCCCTGGGCTGGTGGTCCTGGGTTCTAAAAGAAAGCAAGCTGAGCAAGTCATGGAAGCACATAGCCCTTCTCCACGGCCTGTGCATCGGCTCCTGCCTCCAAGTTCCTTCCCTGCTTGAGTTCCTGTCCTGACTTCCTTTGGTTAGGAAGAGCAATGTGGAAGTGTAATCTGAATGAACCCTTTCCTCTCCAGCTTGCTTTTGATCATGGTGTTCTGTTGCAACAATAGAAACCCTAATAAGACAACGTTATGTATATGCATCTTCAGTCCTACTGGAATGAGAGTTCTCCCACTGTTTACTTTTTACAATCCTTTCTTTATACTTAATGCTTCATAATGAGAAAACATTCTTGAAAAACCTTCAGAATCTATGTCATTAATATGTAAAATGTAAAAATAGAAGTGGTTAGTTGGAATCTGAGTATAACGATTTCTAAAATTTTTTTCATTAATTACATTTAAGAAATTTCTATTAAGGCGCCTCAATTTTTACATGAGAGATTTGTCTTTTGTTTTACTCTAGTTTGACACCCCATGTTCTCCTTGTCACAATACAGGGAGCTGATCTGGAACTGCAGCAACTGACCCTGGACTGTTTCATCCTCATTTCACTCTACCCCCAACATTGCTGAACTGTTCCATTTTCCCATAGAGGAAGGTTATTCTTAGAAATCTAACTTCTTTCCAGAGTGGTTGCACAAGTTTGCATTCCCACCAGCAATGGGTGAGTGTACCCCTTTCTCCACAACCTCTCCAGCAAAGGCTATCATTGGTGTTTTTTATTTTAGCCATTCTGCAACCACTCTGGAAAGCAGTGTTTCGGTTTCTCAGGAAATTCGGGATCAACCTACCCCTGGATCCAGCAATACCACTCTTGGGAATATACCCAAGAGAGGCCCTATCATACAACAAAAGTATATGCTCAACTATGTTCATGGCAGCATTGTTTGTAATAGCCAGAACCTGGAAACAACCTAGATGCCCTTCAACGGAAGAATGGATGAAGAAAGTATGGAATATATACATATTAGAGTATTACTCAGCAGTAAAAAACAAGGACTTCTTGAATTTTGCATACAAATGGATGGAAATAGAAAACACTATCCTGAGTGAGGTAAGCCAGACCCAAAAAGAGGAACATGGGATGTACTCACTCATATTTGGTTTCTAGCCATAAATAAAGGACATTGAGCCTATAATTCATGTTCCTAGAGAAGCTAAATAAGGTGAATCCAAAGACAAACACATAGGCATCCTCAGGAATATTAACCTTCATCAGGCGATGAAAGGAGACAGAGACAGAGACCCACACGGGAGCACCGGACAGAAATCTCAAGGTCCAAATCAGGAGCAGAAGGAGACGGAGCACGAGCAAGGAACTCAGGACCACAAGGGGTGCACCCACACACTAAGACAATGGGGATGTTCTATTGGGATCTCACCAAGGCCAGCTGGCCTAGGTCTGAAAAAGCATGGGATAAATCCGGACTAGCTGAACATAGCGGACAATGAGGAATACTGAGAATTCAAGAACAATTGCAGTGGGTTTTTGATCCTACTGCACGTACTGGCTTTGTGGGAGCCTAGGCAGCTTGAATGCTCACCTTACGAGACCTGGATAGAGGTGGGCAGTCCTTGGGCTTCCCACAGGTCAGGGAACCCTGATTGCTCTTCGAGCAGATGAGGGGGGGGACTTGATCGGGGTAGGGGGAGGGAAATGGGAAGCGGTTGTGGGGACGAGGCAGAAATCCTTAATAAATAAATAAATTAAAAAAAACAATAAAAAAAATTTAAAAAAGGAAAAAAAGAATCAAAAAAAAAAAAAAGAAATCTAACTTCTTTAGTCCCCTATTGTAATGGTCTGTCCTGTTTCTTTAGGAGACAAGCCCTGCCCACTCCCCTCCCCTTCCACTGAGACAAGTGGATCTTCCTTCCGTTCCAGCCTGTGTGAGCTCTCTCTTTTCCATCCCTCTTCGGAAGAAGCTGCGGCTGCTCCCCCCCTCCTTTCTCTCTCTCCCTCTCTCTCTTTCTCTCCCTCTCTGCCTCTCTCTCCTCATCCCCCTTCTCCCTCCCTCTCTCCTTTCCCCTTCCCTTCCATAACCCACTAAATAAATATCCAACCTCACTCTGCATGGCCTGCCTATCCATCTCTGTCTCTCACCCACTGCAGCTCCTTGTTGGGACTGGCTGACCCTCCAAGGTCTCTCAATCACTGAGTGACTCCCTGCCTGGGACCCACTGCCCCTCGTGGCCTGCTGCCTGCTGCCTGCTGCCACCACTTGGGGACTAGAGCCGTTTTATTTTTTACCATTACACCCATCTAGCAAAGACACTTCATGTTCACCAATGTAACCATCTGGACAACCTACAGTAAGCAAACACATGCAATAATATAAGTGAATCTGAGCTGAAATTTTAAGTTGGTACCCTTTCCTTGCTCCAGCCAGAACTCAGTGTGAAGAACCCTTTGATCGCAGGTTCATGTATGAGGCAGCATAACTTGCCTCATGCTTAAACATTTAGGTAACTCTCTGATGTTACTAAGTCCCTATCAGTGTTTCCTTCCATATCTACCTGCATTCTGTCTCTGTCTTCATGAATTTTCTAATTACAATTAATAGACCCTTCTGTTTGGGAGCTCGTCCCTGCTCAGGGGTTCAGAAGGTCAGGGCTGGGCGGGCTGCAACACTATAAATAGGATATTCAAGCTTCAAATTCCAGGAGTTGTGGACAATAGAAAAGGAAAATCTATACCCCTGGCATTTACTCTGGCAGACCATTTGTTTCAAAGGAACAATATCACTGTCTATCATATACTGACAAAGATTTCACCATGTTCCCAGTAAGAATTAGGAGTTGCGTTACATATTCTATATTATTTATACTTTATCTAGATACACACATATTCACTTTTATGATAGTTTATTATATAGTTCTGCCATGTTCAACTAAATCAATATATTACAAAAGCAGAAGTTATAAAAAAAATCCCTCATAGGCATACAGACACAGGGTAAACCCAAAGACTGGCACACCTAGGAAGAGCCACCTCACCCAGACAACGTATGGAACTATCTTTGTATAAATATTATAAATAACATAATTTTGTCTTATAATGACTTTTGTTCAAAATGAAGAGAAAACACACAGAGAGGGGGAGAAGAAAGGGGGAGGTGGGGAGAAAAAGAAAAGCTTTTGATTAATATAATTGAAATCAAATCCAAAAAGAAAACTCTGTTGGATTCTTACAAAAAGAAAAGAAAAAGAAATGTAGTTTAATGGGAAAAATGAATTCTCTACAACTTCCTACGTGCTTGGACTTTACATGTTTTATTTCACTTGCTTTTCACTGAAAAGTCCAATTAAATTTTATTTCAAGAAATTTTCTCAAAGATAAAGAACTAGAAGTTACAGAGTAAGGATGTGGGCATAAATGTTATTCTTAAATTAATGCCTTTTTTCATAGGCTTTCTCTTCATAACGGACATCAGAAGTTCCCCTCTTGTCTCACTTTCAATTTAAACCAATTAGCCATGAAGACTGATTTTAAAGTGGTCA